CGCCGGGCTCATTTACTGCCACTTTGGCTCCCAGATCCTGGCCGAGCTGCTGGGGCAGCCGGAGGACAGCCCCGAGGTGGCTGCGCTCTATGACCAGGTAGGGAGGCTCTGGACGGGGGGGGGGATCTCCCCCTGCGAACAGGGGGCACCCCATAGCACAGAGCCCCCCTTTATCCCCAGCTCTACGAGAGCTTCGTGGAGGAGATCGATGCCATCGACAACGGCATCGCGCAGGCGGAGGGGGAGCCCCGCTATGCCCTGAGCAGCACCCTCAGTGCCCGCGTTGGGCGCCTCAACCCGCTCTGGAACGAGCCCGACCAGGACACGGAGGTGGGGATGGGGGCACCCCCCTGGCTGGGCCACCCCTCAGCCCCCCTGTTATGTGTGTGTGTGTTGTGTCCCCCCCCCCAAGGCCGGGTTCCAGCGGGCCATGGAGCTGGTGCGCAGCGAGTTCCTGGAGCGCCTGGACCATTGCAGACGGAGCTGGCTGCCGGCGCGGGCACTGGTGCATGAGAGCATCCAGCGCCGCTTTGAGGTGATCATTGGGGGGCTCTGGGGGGGGTCAGAGGTTAGGGGGGAGCAGTGTGGTGAGGAGGGGGTAGGTTCACCCCGGGTGGACATCCCTGCATGGCCCAGGGTGGCCCCTGCGCCCCATATCCCTCTACAAGGCCCTGCACCTCTCTACCCTTACGCATGACCCTGCACCCCTCCAGCAGCCCTATATCCTTATACACAGCCCTGCACCCACCTGCACCCCTATATCCTTACACACAGCCCTGCACCCCTCCAGCACCCCTATATCCTTACACACAGCCCTGCACCCCTATATCCTTATACACAGCCCTGCACCCCTGTATCTTTACAGTGCTGCACCCCTATATCCTTACACACAGCCCTGCACCCCTATATCCTTACACACAGCCCTGCACCCTTGTATCCTTACAGCCCTGCACCCCTCCAGCACCTCTATATCCTTACACACAGCCCTGCACCAGCCTGCACCCCTGTATCCTTACACATGGCCCTGTACCCCCCTGTACCCCTATATCCTTACACACAGCCCTGCACCCCTGTATCCTTACACATGGTCCTGCACGCCTGTATCCTTACACACAGCCCTACACCCCCCCTGCACCCCTATATCCTTACACACAGCCCTGCACCCCTGTATCCTTACAGCCCTGCACCCGCCTGCACCCCTATATCCTTACACAGAGCCCTGCACCCTCCAGCACCCCTATATTCTTACACATGGCCCTGCACCCCCTCTGCACCCCTATATCCTTACACACAGCCCTGCACCCCCCTGTACCCCTATATCTTTACACACAGCCCTGCACCCCTATATCCTTACACACAGCCCTGCACCCCTCCAGCACCCCTATATCCTTACACACAGCCCTGCATCCCATCCAGCACCCCTATATCCTTACACATGTCCCTGCACCCCTGTATCCTTACACATGGTCCTGCACCCATCCAGCACCCCTATATCCTTACAGAGAGCCCTGCACCCCTATATCCTTACACATGGCCCTGCACCCCCCTGTACCCCTATATCCTTACACAGAGCCCTGCACTCTCCCCTCACCCCTCCAGCACCCCTCTATCGTCACACACATCCATGCCCCTCTCCTGTCCCCTATGCACCCACTCACAGCCGCACACCAGATCCCCCCGTGCCCACCCACCCCACCTCTCTGTGCACCCCACATCACCTCCCCCTGCTCCCCCCCTCCCCTGCTCATGCACCCCCAGGGAGACCTGCTCAAAGTGAGGTGCGTGTGGGGAAACTGAGGCACGGGGCAGGACCCCCATGACCCCCCCGTGTCCCTCTGTGACCCCTGGTGTCCCCTCTGTCCCCACCATGTCCCCACCGTGACCCCCCCGTTTCTCTATGTCCCCCTTTCCCCCCATGACCCCCCCATGTCCCCTGTTTCCCCCTGTATCCCCCGTTTCCCTCCCATGACCCCCCCGTGCCTCCACATGACCCCCGTTTCCCCCAATGCCCCCCCATTTCCCCCATGATCCCCCTTTTTGCCCCCCATGACCCGTTTCCCCACCGTGCCTCCCTCTTTCCCCCCCATGTCCCCTCTGTTTCCCCTCCGTCCTCCCCATGGCCCCTGTTTCCCCCCCATGTCCCCCCTGTGCCTCCCCCATGACCCCTGTTTCCCCCATGCCCCCCCTGCTTCCCCCCATGACCCCACTCTTTGCCCCCTATGTCCCCCCCATGATCCCTGCTTCCCCCCATGTCCCCCCCCATGCCCCTCCTGCTTCCCCCCATGTCCCCCCCATGACCCCTGCTTTCCCCTTTCCCCATGCCCCCCCGCTCCCCGCCCCCCACTCTTTGCCCCCCCTGTTTCCCCCCCATGTCCCCCCATAACCCCATGTTTCCCCCCCTGCAGGTGGACAGCAGTGGGTCAGTGCTGGAGCTGCCTCAGGCCGGGTGCCCGTGGCAGGAGCTCCTTTTCCGCCTGGAGCGGGAGCTGGCGCTGCCGCAGCCGCTGCTCCTGGTGCTCTTCCCGGACCGGGCCGGGCAGTGGCGGGTGCAGAGCGTGCCCACGGCGCCGCACTCCTTCCGCAGCCGGTGAGCCCCAGCCCCCGCCCCAGCCCCAGCCCCATTCCCAGCCCCAGCCCCATCCCCAGCCCCATTCCCAGCCCCAGCCCCATCCCCAGCCCCATTCCCATCCCCAGCCCCATTCCCATTCCCAGCCCCATTCCCGGCCCCCAGCCCCATTCCCGGCCCCCAGCCCCCATCCCCAGCCCCATTCCCAGCCCCATTCCCAGCCCCAGCCCCATGGCCCCCGGCCCCATTCCCGGCCCCCAGCCCCATTCCGGCCCCAGCCCCAGCCCCAGCTCCATTCCCAGCCCCATTCCCAACCCCATTCCGGCCCCATTCCCAGCCACCAGCCCCATTCCCAACCCCATTCCGGCCCCATTCCCAGCCCCATTCCCGGCCCCATTCCCATCCCCATTCCACAGCCCCATGCCCATTCCCAGCCCCATTCCCATCCCTATTCCTATCCCCATTCCCCAGCCCCAGCCCCATTCCCATTCCCGACCCCATCCCCAGCCCCATCCCTATTCCCAGCCCCATTCCCATCCCCATCCCTATTCCCATCCCCATCCCCATCCCTAGGAGCAGGCTCTGACCTCTGCCCCCCCCCGCAGCCTGCCCCTGCCCGAGCCCTGGCGCGGTCTCCGGGATGCGGCGCTATCCCGGCTCTCCGGCATCCCCGGCTGCGTCTTCGTGCACGCCAGCGGCTTCATCGGGGGCCACCGCACACGGGAGGGGGCCCTGGAGATGGCCCGGAGGACACTGGAGCAGCGCGGGGGGCAGGAGGCCCCTCCTGGTACCCGCACCCCCAAAGGGACCCTTTGATGCTGTATGGAACGGGGTCGTTGTCATGGGGCTGGGGGCATCGCCCCTCATCCCGATGTGGGGATGCTGCGAGCCCAAACAAGGCTTTGTTCCCACTCCTGTGTCTGCTGGTTCCCAACCCCATTCAATGCAATGGGGGGGGTCCTTAGGGTGCTGGGCTCCTGCTCCCCCCCCATGCACCCAGCAGCAGAGAGGAAGGGGGAGAACGCGGCTCCCCCCTCGCTCCAGGTCGCCATGGGGACAGCGCGGCTCCTGCTGCTGGTGCTGCTGCTGCTGCTGCCCCACGGCTCCATAGGGCCCCGCTGCCCCCCCCCACCGCTGCCCCCCGGTAGCAGCGGCCACAACGGCAGCGCGGAGGGGCCGGCGCGGGCCCCGGACCCCGCGGTGCTGGCGGCCATGGGCGCCTGGCTCGGGGCCCTGCTGCTCTGTGTCGGGAGGCAGGTCCGGAGGAGCCGGGCCCGCAGCCGCCTGCAGCTCCGGTACCTGCGGGCGCTGCCCCGGGCCCCGCTGCCAGCACCGGAGCAGGAGGAGGAGGAGATGGGAACCGAGCTCTGAGCTGGGGCTGGGGCAAGGGGGGTCCGGCTCTGGCCCAGGCATCGGAGGGGTTCGTATCCCATTGACTGCCCTGGGTCCTTGGGGTGGGGGGGATGGGGGACGATTTGGGGGATTGGGGGTGATGGGGGATTGGGGGGGATGGGGAAGGATTGGGGGATGGGGGGGTGATGGGGGAGGATCTGGGGGTGATGGGGGAGGATTGGGGGTGATGGGGGGGGGATCTGGGGGTGATGGGGGAGGATTGGGGGTGATGGGGGGGGATCTGGGGGTGATGGGGGAGGATTTGGGGTGATGCAGGAGGATTGGGGGTGACGGAGGAGGATTGGGGGTGATGCAGGAGGATTGGGGGGGATGGGGGATTGGGGGTGATGGGGGAGGATTGCGGGTGATGGGGTGGGGGTAATGGGGAGGATTGGGGGGATGGGGGAGGATTGGGGATGATGGGGGAGGACTGGGGGCCAATGGGGGAGAATCTGGGGGTGATGTGGGAGGATTGGAGAGTCATGGGGGAGGATCAGTGGGGGGTCATGGGGGAGGATTGAGGAGCAATGGGGGGGGATTTGGGGTGATGCAGGAGGATTGGAGGGTCATGGGGGAGGATTGGGAGGCAATGGGGGAGGATCTGGGGGTGATGCGGGAGGACTGGGGGGTGAAGGGGGAGGATTGGGGGTGATGGAGGATTGGGTGTGATGGGGGAGGACTGGGGGTCCCCATGCTCTCCCCCTCATCCCTTCCCTGGGCTGTAACCCAGCGACTGCAGCGTAATCCCATGGATTATCCATGTGTAATCCAGGATTTACCCATCCCTGCTGGGGGCACCGGGGGGGGACCCATCTGCTCCCCACCACCTCTGCAGTGCTGGGCTGGGTTTGGGGTTCACCAGCACCAACCCCTTCCACCGGAGCAGAGGGCTCCAAACCCCTGTGTCCAACCCGGCCAGGGATGGAGCACCCCAACCTCCTCCATTGCACCCCGAACCCATCGCCCTTTGTCCCATGGGGAGGAAGAAAGCCCCGGCTTTAATGCGAGCACCGAGCCCCTGAGGAGGGGCTGGAGCCCCCCGAGGCCGCGCTGGGTCCCTGGAGGAGGACGTGGATCCCATCAGAGCTCCGAGAAGAGCGGCTGCTCCCGCACGCTGGTGCTGGCCAGGCCGGGCCCGGGGCTGGGGCAGGGCCCATGGGCGCTGATGAAGAACAGGGGGATGTGGCTGATGGTGCCCGTGGACCAGCACTGCGGGAGGGAGGCAGGGGATGGGGGGCAGCGGGAGTTCGGCATCCCAGGGGATGCAGCGGTCCCAGTGCGTCCCAGTAAGGACCTGTGTCCCGTCCCCCCCCCCACTACTGCTCACTGCATTCATGGGGGGGTTCCACATCCCTCTTCACCCATTGGATTGATGTCCCCTGGGAACAGCAGTGGGGACCCCAGGAAGGGCTTTGGGGACCCAGGAATTGCTTTAAGACCCCACACAGGGGTTTGGGGCCCCAGGAAGGGCTTTGGGGACCCCTGGAAGGGCTTTGGGGGAGCCCAGGAAGAGCTCTGGGGACCCCAGGAAGGGCTTTGGGACCTCAGGAAGGGCTTTGGGGACCCCAGGAAGGGCTTTGGGGGACCCCTGGAAGGGCTTTGGGGACCCCAGGAAGGGCTTTGGGGACCCCAGGAAGGGCTTTGGGGACCCAGGAAGGGCTTTGGGGACCCCTGGAAGGGCTTTTGGGGACCCAGGCAGGGCTTTTGGGGAGCCCAGGAAGGGCTTTGGGGACCCCAGGAAGGGCTTTGGGACCCCTGGAAGGGCTTTGGGGACCCCAGGAAGGGCTTTGGGGGACCCTAGGAAGGGCTTTGGGAGCCCAGGAAGGGCTTTGGGGTCCCCAGGAAGGGCTTTGGGGACCCCTGGAATGGCTTTGGGGACCCCAGGAAGGGCTTGGGGGACCCCATTAAGGGCTTTGGGGGACCCCAGGAAGGGCTTTGGGGACCCCAGGAAGGGCTTTGGGGGATCCCAGGAATTGCTTTAGGACCCCAGGAAGGGCTCTGGGGCCTCAGGAAGGGCTTTGGGGACCCAGGAAGGGCTCTGGGGCCTCAGGAAGGGTTTTGGGGTCTCAGGAAGGGCTTTGGGGACCCCAGGAAGGGCTCTGGGGCCTCAGGAAGGGTTTTGGGGTCTCAGGAAGGGCTTTGGGGACCCAGGAAGGGCTTTGGGGGACCCCAGGCAGGGTTTTGGGTCCCTGAGCCCCACTCACCACCGTCAGGAGAGCTCCCTTGTGGAAGCAGGGGTGGAAGGCGATGAGCTGGGGCTCAGCATCGCGCTCGCCCCGCAGGAACCCGCTGCAGGGGAGAGGAGAGGCGAGATCAGAGCACGGCCATGGGGGGGCACTGGTGTCAATGGGGGGCTATGGGCAGGAGGAGAGGGTCGGGGCCTGCAGGGGACCCGGAGCAATGGGGCTGAGGTGGGGAATGGATGAGGGGGCCAAAGCACAACCGGTTGTGGGGTGAAGGAGCAGAAGGAAGGGACCTGAAAGCCCCAATCCAGCCCCAGGGACCCCTTCCACTGGAGCAGGGTGCTCCGAGCCCTGTGTCCAACCTGGCCTTGAGCACTGCAGGGATGGGGCAGCCCCAGTGAACCCCTCCCAGTGTCCCCGCACCCCCAGCCCCACACGCACCAGGGCAGGAGCTCGAACACGGGGCTGTTGCGGGTCCGGAACAGGGCCACGATCGTCTGGGTCCCGGCTGCATCGGGGCTGCCTGCAAAGGGAGGGAGGGAGGAGCAGGGGGGGTCCCCTCGTCCATTGGAGTCCTCATGGGGCCCCCCAAGGACCCTTCAGGGACTGAGCCCCAGCTCCATGCTTTGGGTAGGGAGGGATCGGGGGCTCCTATGGGGCCCCATCACTCCCAATGCAGGGCTTGTTTCCCATCCAGCCCAGTTTCTGCACCCAGACCCTGCAGGATCTGTGTAGGGCAGAGGGTGGCAGCTGTGGGGGCCCCCCAATGTCTTTAAACCAAGCTTGGACCCAGCCTTGGGTTCCCCCCTGCCCGAGGCAGCAGCACCCCCAGAACCGCATCCCAGTGCCCCTCAAACATCCTGAATGGCTCCGTTATCCCTGGAGCCATGGGGCCCAGCTGGGCTCCAGCAGGAACTGGGAGACCCTGCCTGGGACTGGGTCCAGTTGGAACCAGGGGGGGAACTGGGATGGGGTCCGAGCCCAGCTCCTCACCTCGGATGATGGCTGCGAGCCGCTCCCCCGTGGGGTCCCACACCATGGAGTGAACCTCTCCTCCCACCCTGCATGGGCAGGAGCAGCAGTGAGAGCCCAGCACTGGGATGGGGAATGGGGCACGGACCCCCCCCCATGCTCCCCAGTGCCACCAGCAGGGCCGGACCCCCTCTCCTCCCACCCTGCAGGGCAGTGAGAGCCCAGCATGGGATGGGAGACCCCCCCCATGCTCCCCAGTGCCACCAGCAGGGCCGGACCCACCTCTCCTCCCACCCTGCAGGAGCAGCAGTGAGAGCCCAGCACTGGGATGGGGAATGGGGCACGGACCCCCCCCATGCTCCCCAGTGCCACCAGCAGGGCCGGACCCACCTCTCCTCCCACCCTGCAGGGACAGGAGCAGCAGTGAGAGCCCAGCACTGGGATGGGGAATGGGGCACCCCCCCCATGCTCCCCAGTGCCACCAGCAGGGCCGGACCCACCTCTCCTCCCACCCTGCATGGGCAGCAGTGAGAGCCCAGCACTGGGATGGGGCACAGGGCACAGGACCCCCCCCATGCTCCCCAGTGCCACCAGCAGGGCCGGACCCACCTCTCCTCCCACCCTGCAGGAGCAGCAGTGAGAGCCCAGCACTGGGATGGGGAATGGGGCATGGACCCCCCCCATGCTCCCCAGTGCCATCACCAGGGCTGGACCCACCTCTCCTCCCACCCTGCATGGGCAGCAGTGAGAGCCCAGCACTGGGATGGGGAATGGGGCACAGACCCCCCCCATGCTCCCCAGTGCCACCAGCAGGGCCGGACCCACCTCTCCTCCCACCCTGCATGGGCAGGGGCAGCAGTGAGAGCCCAGCACTGGGATGGGGAATGGGGACAGACCCCCCCATGCTCCCCAGTGCCACCAGCAGGGCCGGACCCACCTCTCCTCCCACCCTGCAGAGCAGCAGTGAGAGCCCAGCACTGGGATGGGGCACAGGCAGCCCCCCCATGCTCCCCAGGCCACCACCGACCCACCCTCCTCCCACCCTGCAGGAGCAGCAGTGAGAGCCCAGCACTGGGATGGGGAATGGGGCACGGACCCCCCCATGCTCCCCAGTGCCACCAGCAGGGCCGGACCCACCTCTCCTCCCACCCTGCATGGGCAGCAGTGAGAGCCCAGCACTGGAGGCAAGGGCAACCCCCATGCTCCCCAGTGCCACAGCAGGGCCGACCCACCTCCTCCCACCCTGCATGGGCAGCAGTGAGAGCCCAGCACTGGGATGGGGCACAGGGCATGGACCCCCCCCCATGCTCCCCAGTGCCACCAGCAGGGCCGGACCCACCTCTCCTCCCACCCTGCATGGGCAGCAGTGAGAGCCCAGCACTGGGATGGGGAATGGGGCACGGACCCCCCCCATGCTCCCCAGTGCCACCAGCAGGGCCGGACCCACCTCTCCTCCCACCCTGCAGGGGCAGCAGTGAGAGCCCAGCACTGGGATGGGGAATGGGGCACGGACCCCCCCCATGCTCCCCAGTGCCACCAGCAGGGCCGGACCCACCTCTCCTCCCACCCTGCAGGGGCAGCAGTGAGAGCCCAGCACTGGGATGGGGAATGGGGCACGGACCCCCCCCATGCTCCCCAGTGCCACCAGCAGGGCCGGACCCACCTCTCCTCCCACCCTGCATGGGCAGCAGTGAGAGCCCAGCACATGGGATGGGCACACATGCTCCCCATGCCACCAGCAGGCCAACCTCCCACCCTGCAGGAGCAGCAGTGAGAGCCCAGCACTGGGATGGGGCACAGGGCACAGACCCCCCCCCATGCTCCCCAGTGCCACCAGCAGGGCCAGACCCACCTCTCCTCCCCATAGAGCGTCTCGAAGGTGGTCTCGGACAGGTCCGCCACGATGGAAGCCGTTTTGGAGCCTCCCACTTGCCCCTGCATCTCCCCTGGGGGACAAACCCCGCTCAGCTCCGGATCCCCTGCACTGGGACCCCCACTTTGGGGCCTTTAGGAGCAAGAAGCAACTCAATAGGGGGGGGGTCCGACCCCCCCATGGCCTCACCTCGGTACTCGGAGAAGGACAGGGAGTAGATAACGGCCTCCCCCAGCACGGTGAAGAGCAAGCGGCTGCCATCAGGGCTCCAGCACCCGGTCTGTGGGGCGCAGGACCCACATCAGCACCCGCTGTGGGGTGTGTGGGGCTGGCAATGGGGCAGGGATGAAGGGGGGGTACCTGGCAGCGCCCGGTGATGGTGGGCCAGCGCTCGCACGTCCACATCTGCGCCTCCCACACCCTGCAGGGGGGCAGAGAGGATGGGAATGGATCCCCCCCCCCTCCCATCATCACCAGTGGTGCAATGGGAATGGGAGCAGCGAGGTGGGGACGGAAGCGATGCCAAGGGCTGGAGCTCACCTGAACACGGCCGAGGGGGTGGCTGCCAGCACCTTGCTGCCATCGGGAGACCAGGCCAAGTAGGTGACCCCCCCGCCTCCAAAGCACTGCAGGGGCACGCAGCTCTCGGTGGACACGTCCCACACCTGGAGGGGACAATGAGGATGGGGATGGTGTGGACAGGGATGGGGCACCCTGTGCCAGCCCCTCAGCACCCTCACAGGGAAGAGCTTCTGCCCCAGAGCTCAGCTCAGTCTCCCCTCGGGCAGGTTCAAGCCATTCCCCTTGCCCTGTCCCAGCCCCTCTCCAGGTTCCCTGCAGCCCCTTTAGGCACTGGGGCTGCTCCACGCTGGTTCCTTTCACTGGGTGCTCCCCAGCATCTCCCTCACCCTGGTGCCTGTGATGAAGCAGCTCCATTCATTGGGTGGCAGCACCCAAGCGTTTCACAGGCAGTGAATGGGGAGAGGAGGACCCCAGCGAGGAGAGGGACGGGAAACAGGGCTGGGATGGGAGCAGAGCCCGAGGGAGCTGCGGAGGCTGGGATGGGATTCCCATGATAACCATCAGCTTCCCTGCATGGATCAGCATGAACTCAACCAAAGCATGTCACAGATGTGGGAACCTGGAGCTGTTTTCTGCTGTGCTATTGAACTCAAGGACTCTTTGCAAAGAGACTCCTGATAGCGTGTGACAATAAGAGATCTCACACCATTTGATCAGGTTAAGCATAGGTACCAGTGTGTGGTTGTGTCTGGCATTGATTTGCCCCAAATACCCCCATAAGAACACTAAGAGCAGGTCTTCCAGCCCTCCATGAGGATTCACAGGGTCCAGGTCCCCAGTGCAGCACCGGGACTGGGAGCACTGGCCCGTACTCACCAGCATGGCCGTGTCCACCGGTGACGCCGAGAGCAGGAGGTCCCCACTGGGCGCCCAGGCCAGGCTGGTGACGGGGCTGTGGCCGGGGTGCGCCAGGACCTGAGCGCAGCCGGATGAGGGCCTGCAGGGGGGAGCAGAGCAGGGCTCAGCCCCCTTGTGCTGCCTCAACCGCACCATGGGGTGGAGAGGAAGGGGGGGGGCATTGGGGTGCCCCCACCTGGTGGAGAGGGAGGTGGGGTCCAGGTGCCAGAGCAGGACGCAGCCGTGGCAGGCGACGGCGAGGATGGAGGCGCAGAGCGGCTTCCAGGCCAGCGCGGCCACGTTCCTCTGCAGGCGATGCTTCAGCGAGGGGATGGTGGCACTGCCAGGGCAGGAGCACAGCTCAGGCCTCCCATAGCATTGAGTGCAAGGGGGGGGCCCTGAAGCATCAATGGGAATGGGGGGGGACGCGGCCCTGGTGTGGACACCTCAAGGATGGAGGCTCCCATGCATCACCCACAGCCCCACACTGGGCAAGGGGATGGGAGATGTGGGGATGGGGAGAGGAGCACTGGGGCGGGGGGGGTCAGAACGCATTGGATGTGGATGGGAATGGTGGAAATGGGGGTACCCCAAGCCTCACCTACTGGAGTTGTAGACGCGGATGGAGTCGTCCAGCAGAGCCACAGCGAACTTACTGGTGTGGGGGTGCCAGGCGAAGGCCCGGATGCTGCAGCCGGCCCTGGGGGGTGAGGGGGTCCTGGCAATGGGGCAGCCCCAGAGCCCCCATGGAAGGGAGGGGGTCCAGAGCCCCAGTGCTGCCGAATGGGCCCATTCCCTGTGCTCAGCCCCGGATGGGGAGGGGTTTCCCAGTACTGATGCTGGCTCCCACCATGGGGCAGCCAGAGGCAATGGGGCTGTGTGGGGGGAGGCTGAGCACCTCCAATTGGGGGGGGGGGGTCCCCATCCTGAACCCCAGCCCTGGAGCTCAGCACTCACCAGTCCACGGCCTGGGAGAAGGCAGCGATCATGTCCTCACTGGTCAGCTGCAGGGACAGGGATGGACACGGAGCTGGGAGCTCTGCACCCGCCTCTGGTGAGCAGGGGGGACCCCAAAGCATCCAAACCCCGCTTCCACCTCCATCCCCATCCCTGCTGCCCCAGTGCCCCCCCCCCAGCTCCCCCATAGGGGTGTCCATCCCGCATCCTGCATCCCAGTACCCCCCCCCACAGCTTCCCCATAGGGGTGTCCATCCCTCATCCCTCATCCCAGTGTCCCCCCAGCTCCCCCATGGGGGTGTCCATCCCTTATCCCAGTGCCCCCCCAGCTCCCCCATGGGGGTGTCCATCCCTTATCCCAGTGCCCCCCAGCTCCCCCATGGGGGTGTCCATCCCTCATCCCAGTGTCCCCCAGCTCCCCCATGGGGGTGTCCATCCCTTATCCCAGTGCCCCCCAGCTCCCCCATAGGGGTGTCCATCCCTCATCCCTCATCCCAGTGCCCCCCAGCTCCCCCATGGGGGTGTCCATCCCTCACCACCCCAGCTCCCCATGGGTGTCCATCCCTCATCCCAGTGCCCCCCAGCTCCCCCATAGGGGTGTCCATCCCTCATCCCAGTGCCCCCCAGCTCCCCCATAGGGGTGTCCATCCCTCATTCCCCATCAAAGGCAGGCTCACGGAGAGGTGTGGGAACAAGGAGCCGTGCAGTGAGGAGAGCCAGCGGCACAGGGCCAGCACCGAGCTGGAGCCCGACTTGAGCCATCGCAGCCCTGCAGGACACAGGGAGCATCAGCACCAGCATCAGCACCAGCATCAGCACCAGCATCAGCACCAGCACCAGCACCAGCATCAGCACCAGCATCAGCACCAGCACCAGCATCAGCACCAGCATCAGCACCAGCATCAGCACCAGCACCAGCACCAGCATCAGCACCAGCATCAGCACCAGCACCAGCACCAGCACCAGCACCAGCATCAGCACCAGCACCAGCACCAGCACCAGCACCAGCATCAGCACCAGCACCAGCACCAGCACCAGCACCAGCACCAGCACCAGCATCAGCACCAGCACCAGCACCAGCATCAGCACCAGCACCAGCACCAGCACCAGTGGGGGCTGCAGAGAGAGGCTGGGAGCTCCTGAAGCAGGGATGGGGATGAAGGGACCCAAGGGGGCTCCTGCAGCAGGGATGGGGATGAAGGGACCCAAGGGAGCTCCTGCAGCAGGGATGGGGATGAAGGGACCCAAGGGGGCTCCTGCAGCAGGGATGGGGATGAAGGGACCCAGGGGGCTCCTGCAGCAGGGATGGGGATGAAGGGACCCAAGGGAGCTCCTGCAGCAGGGATGGGGATGAAGGGACCCAAGGGGGCTCAATGGAGCTCCTGCAGCAGGGATGGGGATGAAGGGACCCAAGGGGAGCTCCTGCAGCAGGGATGGGGATGAAGGGACCCAAGGGGGCTCCTGCAGCAGGGATGGGGATGAAGGGACCCAAGGGAGCTCCTGCAGCAGGGATGGGGATGAAGGGACCCAAGGGGGCTCCTGCAGCAGGGATGGGGATGAAGGGACCCAAGGGAGCTCCTGCAGCAGGGATGGGGATGAAGGGACCCAAGGGAGCTCCTGCAGCAGGGATGGGGATGAAGGGACCCAAGGGGGCTCCTGCAGCAGGGATGGGGATGAAGGGACCCAAGGGAGCTCCTGCAGCAGGGATGGGGATGAAGGGACCCAAGGGGGCTCAATGGAGCTCCTGCAGCAGGGATGGGGGTGAAGGGACCCAAGGGAGCTCAATGGAGCTCCAGGCACTCACCCTCCTCCTCGGCGCTGCTGAGCTCCCTCAGGACCCCGCAGAGCCCCAGCTCCCGCCTGCACCGAGAGCTCCATCAGCCCTTGCAGGGACCCAAAACCCACCCCAGCCCCAGCCCTGAACCCAAACCCACACCGGGGCCTGCAACCCCCTGCCCTCCTGGGTGCATCGTGGACACCCAGGGGGCTCAGCCCCGGTTTAAACCAGCCTGGATTGGGTGGAAGGGGCCCCAAAGCTCCAATCCAGCTCCAATCCGGCCCCAGGGACCCCTTCCACTGTTGCAGGGTGCTCCAAGCCCCTGTGTCCTTGAGCACTGCCAGGGATGGGGCAGCCCCAGCTTCTCTGGGCACCCTGTGCCAGCGCCTCAGCACCCTCACAGGGAAGAGCTTCTGCCTAAGAGCTCAGCTCAGTCTCCCCTCGGGCAGGTTCAAGCCATTCCCCTTGCCCTGTCCCTGCATCCCTTGTCCCAAGCCCCTCTCCAGGTTCCCTGCAGCCCCTTTAGGCTCTGGAGCTGCTCTCAGGTCCCCCCTTCAGGCTCTCCCCCCTCTGCCCCGCTCCCGCACTCACCAGGCCCCGAGGCACCGCTTCCACAGCGCCTCCCGCTGGTGGATGAAGGCCGGGCGGGAGCTGAGCTCCGGCCGCGAGGGCGCCTTGAGCGCATCCCGGGGCAGGCTGAGGACGGGCAGGGCCGGGAGCTGCGGGCAGCGCAGGGGGGAGAGGGACGGGGCCGGGGCTGAATGGGGCGGGGGGTGAATGGGGCCGGGGCTGAACGGGGCGGAGCTGAATGGGGCCAGGGCTGGAATGGGACTGGGGCTGAATGGGGCCGGGGATGAATGGGCCGGGGCTCAATGGGGCAGGGGTTGAATCGGACCGGGGCTGAACGGGCCGGAGCTGAATGGGGCCAGGGCTCGAATGGGACTGGGGCTGAATGGGCCGGGGCTCAATGGGGCCGGGGATGAATGGGGCAGGGGTTCAATGGGACCGTGCATGAGATGGGCCCGGGGCTGAATGGGGCAGGGGCTCAATGGGACCGGGGCTGAACGGGGCCGGGCTGAACGGGACCGGGCTGGGGTTGAACGGGGCTGAACGGGGCCGGGGGCCGGGGCTGAACGGGCCGGAGCTGAATGGGACCGGGGCTGGAATGGGACTGGGGCTCAATGGGGCCGGGGATGAATGGGGCCGGGGCTCAATGGGACTGGGGCTGCATGGGACGAGGGTGAATAGGGCCGGGGCTGAATGGGGCCGGGGTTGAATCGGACCGGGGCTGAACGGGCCGGAGCTGAATGGGGCCAGGGCTGGAATGGGACTGGGGCTGAATGGGGCCGGGGATAAATGGGGCCAGGGCTGAACGGGGCCGGAGCTGGAATGGAACCGGGGCTCAATGAGACCGAGGGTGAATGGGGCCGGGGCTCAATGGGGCCGGGGCTCAATGGGACCGGGGCTCAATGCGGCCGGGGCTGAACGGGGACAGGGCTGAGATGGGACCGAGGGTGAATGGGACAGGGGCTGCATGGACCGGGGCTCAACGGGGCCGGGGCTCAATGGGGCCGGGGCTCAACGGGGCCGGGGCTCAACGGGGCCGGGGCTCAATGGGACCGGGGCTCAATGGGGCCGGGGCTCAACGGGGCCGGGGCTCAATGGGGCCGGGCCTGCATGGGCCGCTCCGCTCCGGTCTCACCTGGCTCTGCAGGGGCAGCGCCGGCCGCTCCCGCGCGCTCACCAGGACGTTGTTGCTCTCGTAGGCGGTGACGTCCCCCGGGGGCGGCGGCGGCGGGAACAGCGCCAGGGAGCACATCCCTGCCCCGGAGCCAACTGCGGGCCCCGCACGGACCGGACCGGACCGGCCCGAGCCCCCGGTACCGGAACCGATATCGGTACCGTCTCCCGCCAGCGGCTACTGCGCATGCGCGACCCCGCCCCCAGCGCCCCCTGGTGGCCGCTGTGCCGGGCCCCAAGTGGGGATTTAAAGGGGCCGCGGCTGCAGAGCGGGGGGGCTCCAACACGGACAGCGAACACATACATACATGCATATACATATGCATACATACATACATAGATATACATACATACATACATGGATATACATATATACACATACATACATAGATACACATACATACATACATGGATATACATATATGCACATACATACATAGGTATATATACATACACATACGTACACACACATATATACATACATACATAGGTATACATACATACATAGATATACATACATACATAGGTATATATACATACACATACATACACACACATAGATATACATACATACATATACATACATACATAGATATACATACATACACATACATACACATACATACATAGATATACATATATACATATATACATACACCCATACACATGCATACATATACATATATACATACATACATAAATATACATACATACACATGCATACATAGATATACATATATACATACATACATACACATACATGCATAATATACATATATACACATGCATACATAGATATACATACATAAACATACATACATAGATATACATATATATACACATACATGCATATAAATACATACACATACATAAACGTACATACATAGATATACATATATATACACATACATGCATATACATACATACACATACATACGTATACATACATGCATATATATACATACATACACATACATACACATACATGCATATACACATACATACATACACACATACGTGCATGCATACACTTATATACATACACATACACATACATACATATACATACATGCATATACATACATACACATACATATACATACATGCATATACATACGTACATATACATACATACACACATACATACATACACTTATATACAAATACATAGATACACACACATGCACACATACATACACACGTATGTACATACACACACATACGTACACATAAACACATATACACATGCATATGTAGACATACATACATACACATGCACACACATGTGCATACATTCCCCAACACACACCAACACACCGTGGGGGTCTGGGACCCCGTGTACCCACATCCCATGGGTGCCTGGCTCCACTGGGTGCCCATGCCCCCCCACCCCATACCCAGATCCCACGGGTGCCCAGGTCCCATAGATCTCCATGCCCCCCCATACCCACGGGTGCCCGGGTCCCATAGATCTCCATGCCCCCCCCATACCCACGGGTGCCCAGCTCCCATAGATCTCCATGCCCCCCCCATACCCACGGGTGCCCAGGTCCCATAGATCTCCATGCCCCCCCCACCACGGGTGCCCAGGTCCCATAGATCTCCATGCCCCCCCCATACCCACGGGTGCCCAGGTCCCATAGATCTCCATGCCCCCCCATACCCACGGGTGCCCAGGTCCCATAGATCTCCATGCCCCCCATACCCACGGGTGCCCAGGTCCCATAGATCTCCATGCCCCCCCCATACCCACGGGTGCCCAGGTCCCATAGATCTCCATGCCCCCCCCATACCCACGGGTGCCCAGGTCCCATAGATCTCCATGCCCCCCCATACCCATGGGTGCCCAGGTCCCATAGATCTCCATGCTCCCCCCATACCCACGGGTGCCGGGGTCCCATAGATCTCCATGCCCCCCCATACCCACGGGTGCCCAGGTCCCATAGATCCCATTCCCCCCATACCCACGGATGCCGGGGTCCCATAGATCTCCATGCCCCCCCCATACCCACGGGTGCCGGGGTCCCATAGATCTTCATGCCCCCCCATACCCACGGGTGCCCAGGTCCCATAGATCTCCATGCCCCCCCATACCCACGGGTCCCGTGTGCCCGCTCCCATCACCCCGCTGTGCCTGCCCCCCCCATCCCCATCTCCCATGGGTACCATCTCCCCATAGGGCGCTCAGGGGATGCTCCCCTTCCCTCGCCCCCCCCGTGCCTCATTCCCCGCTCCGTTCCCTTTATCCCGTGTTTTCCTTCCCGGCCGCAGGAGCTATTTCCATGGCTCCAGGATATTAAACCCAAGGCAGCGGTTGGGGGGGGGGCCCCCGCATTCCTCACCCGTTACGGAGCGAACCGAGGAGGGGGGGGCCCACAGGAGACATCGATTTACCCGGCGCCGCCACCGGAGCCACCGCAGCGGCTGCCGTTGTCCCTGCGGCTGCGGCCCCACGGAGCCCCCCAAGCCGGCGCTATGGGGCAGCGCTGGGGACGGGACGGGACGGGGGGAGCCGTGGTTTGGGAGGCTCCGGGCGGTCGAGCCCTCGGTGGCCGCGGGGCTGGGGTTTGGCTCCGGGAGCTTGGCGTTGGCATCGGCCCACCCAGGGCGAGCTGGGGTTTGGGGTGAAAACACCACAAAAAAGGCAAATCCGTGGTTTGGGGAGGGAGGGGGGGGGCAGGTCCCATCCCATGGCTCCGTCAAGCGGGCTCCGGGTGCCCCATGGATGGGGGAGGCCGGGTGGAGCCACCGTGAGGCAGCCCCGGGGCAGCACATGGGGGGGTGCAGGCACTGTGCACACGTGTGCTGCTATGAACATACGTGTTTCTATGCACATATGTGTTCCTGTGCACATACGTGTTCTTGTGCACATACGTGTTCCTGTGCACATATGTTTCTATGTACATACATGTTCTTGTGCACATACATGTTCCTGGGCACATACGTGTTCCTGTGCACATGTGTTCCTGTGCACATGTGTTCCTGTGCACATGTGTTCCTGTGCACATACGTGTTCCTGCGCACATACGTGTTCCTGCCCACATACGTGTTCCTGTGCACATACATGATCCTGTGCACATATGTGTGCCTCTGAGCACACACATGTTCCTGTGCACGTATGTGTTACTATGAACATACATGTTCCTATGCACGTGTGTTCCTGTGCGTATACATGTTCCTGTGCACAGGCATGTTCACAGGTCCCATAGATCTCCATGCCCCCCCCCCATACCCACGGGTGCCCAGGTCCCATAGATCTCCGTGCCCTCCCATGTTCCTATGTACATGTTCCTATGTACATACGTGTTCCTATGTACATACGTGTTCCTGTGTGCATAGATGTGTTCCTGTGTGCATAGACATGTTCCTGTGCACATACGTGTTATTGTGCATGGACATGTTCCTATGTACATACGTGTTCCTATGTGCATAGATGTGTTTCTGTGTGCATAGACATGTTCCTGTGCACATACATGTTACTGTGCATGGACATATTCCTATGCACATACATGTTCCTATGCACATACATGTTCCTGTGCTCCCTGTGTTGTGTTCCCCATGTAGCTGTGACCGGCCAGGGTGGGTGTGCAGGGCTGGGGCACACGCGTGTGCTGCCGTGATAGGGGGACCCCAGAACTGTCCCACTGGGGACAGAGGGAGGGGGGACCAGGGGATGGGGGCTATGGGGTCATGGGGACATAGGGACATGGGGGGCAGAGGGATGTGGGGACATGGGGACACCGGGATATGGGGACACCGAGATATGGGGACACCGGGATGTGGGGGGACGTGGGGGATGTGAGGGGACAGGGATGTGGGGGGACAGGGGGATGTGGAGACATGGGGACACCAGGATATGGGGACATAGGGACACGGGGAGCAGAGGGATGCGGGGACATGGGGACACCGGGATATGGGGACACCGGGATATGGGGACACAGGGATGTGGGGGGACAGGGGGATGTGGGGACAGGGGGACAGGGACGGGATATGGGGACACCAGAATGGGAGGATGTGGGGACACGGGAGGGATGTGGGGACACAGGGAAGGATGTGGGGACACGGGGACACAGGGATGGGATATGGGGACACGGGAACGGGATGTGGGGACACGGGAGGGGGATGTGGGGACACGGGGAGGGATGTGGGGACACAGGGATGGGACATGGGGACACGGGATGGGATATGGGGACACGGGAATGGGATGTGGGGACAGGGGGACACCGGGATATGGGGACACCGGGATGTGGGGGGGCAGGGGGATGTTGGGACATGGGGACACCGGGATATGGGGACACAGGGATGTGAAGTTTTGGGGTCCTGGGCATGGGGAGAGACAGGGAAAAAGCCATGGGGCCACGAGGGGGGGGCTGTGGGGACCCAGAGATAAGGGCACAGCCCCAGAACTGTCCCCAGCCCCACTCCTGCCCCATCACCCGCACTGGGGGGGGGCACGCATTGAACCCGAGGGGGGTCCCGTGTGTGCCCCCCCCCGTGCCTCAGTTTCCCTCGGAGCCGCTCTGACGCCTCAGCGATCCCTTTATTGCTTGGGGGGGGGGCACAGCTTAAAAAGAGGGGGGGGCACACATTACATTACATTACATTACATTACATTACATTAGCGCCTATTGACCCGGGCCAACCCTGTCCCTGAGCTCTGTGCGGGGGGAGAGGTTTGGGGGGTGTCAAAGTGAGCCCCCCCCATAATTTAATACATAAATTATAGTCGCTAAGAATGAGATGCGGGGGGGGGGGCAGCGCCCCATAATAAATACCCCGAGGTGAGGATGGGGATGGGGATGGGGATGGGGATGGGGGGGGCTCAAATCTCCAGCAAGTTCCCAGCCTCGGGGCTACCGGTATCTTTACCGGGGGAAGCCGGGGGTGGTTGAGGGGAAGGCACCGGGGGTTGCTCGGGGCCCGGTTTGGACGCTGCGGGCTCGGCGTGGGTCTTCTGGTGCTTGCTGAGGTGGTCGGAGCGGGTGAAGCGCTTGCTGCAGAGCAGGCAGGTGAACTTCTTCTCCCTGGTGTGGGTCCGGACGTGCCGCTCCAGCTCGTCCGAGCGGGTGAAGCGTTTGCCGCAGAAGAGCCAATTG